GAACATATATATATAAATATATATATATATATATATATATATATATAATATCTAATTTTTATATATTTTAATTATATATAACCACAAGCATGTGGTTCAGCGGTAGGGGTTGATCCACGCTTAAGCAAGGTCAGGGGTTCGAATCCTGCCTTGTGTATGCAGCCCCATTAAATCTTGGGACCAGCTATCCCACCCTTTGAAGTGGCTCCCACGTAGCCAGGAGATGTTGAGTCCAAACCTTCACAAAAATTATCTAACAGAAAAATACAAGGATGAATTCGAACCTCGGTATGACAAAAGCTGAGTCTGAACATTCACAAAGTTACTTAATGAAAAATCCGAGGTCAAATTCGAACCTCGGTATGATTGAGGTCGAATCCGAACTATAGTACGATGAAGGACAAACACGAACCTTAACACGATTATTCGAGGTCGACTATGAACCTTAACACGTTTATTCGAGGTCGAATACATGAGTTGTCCCTCCATAGGTAACACTTGCAGTTTGGGTATAACCCCGCTGTTTCTTCGACTAGTCTGATTTGTGTTCGTATTCCATTGATCTTGAACCGGGAATGTTGTTGGATGGGTAGTTGTGATGAAGTTTTAATAAGCAGCCTCGCACTCTCAATTGTCTTGAACGTGGCAGTATCTGAATCCACCTTAACCAAAGACCCTTGCATGCACACCACCTGAGAAAAACATTGTTCATTCCACATATGCAAAGGGACCCCGTAACACCTCACCCACGTTAATCGAGACCCAGGCAATGTTGTCGGATCCCAACGGTTGATATCATAGAACAATGCCCAAAACTCACTATTTTCTCCCTTCTCTGCTTCCATAAGATCCATCTCCTGCAAGCCTGAAATCAAGACTAAATCATCTCCAAAGTATCTTAGACGTACCTTTTCGTTCCCATGCAATGCTTGTAGCCCTTCCAGTCTGTCAAAATCCTCCAGTGAGTGTAACCTTGCCACCCAACTCTCCCGAAGCCATTCACTACACACCTCGGGCACTTTCATTGTAATTTCAGTCCATTCTTCGTCCTCACTATTACCTTGGATTGATGGTTTTTTCTCACACCACATCACCTTCTTTGTCCTTATCGCCCTTGTATGACGGGATCGTGGGACTACCGTCTTCACCTCCTGGTATATATTTTGGACTGCATTTCCGTTAACCACATCAACGTATGACCTTTGGGTGTCCTTCCTTCCAGCCTCTCGTCGATATATTTTTGTCTCATGTTTCTTCTTCCTCGTTTCTTCCTTAGAGAACCTTGAGATGTTTACGTTGAGCTTAACACTCCCAATGTAGAATTTATCCAGCCGAACCTCCAGTGCTTTTACGTCCCACACGTCAATGAACTTGACGAACCCATACAAGTATCCTTTAGCATTCCTTCTTGCAGCAATGAAGACCTCCCACACTCTGCCCCACCTCTGAAACACTTTCCATAGATCTTGCTCACGATACGACGGTGGAAACTTCTCAAAATAGAAAGATGTAATTCGTCCATTCATCATGTTTTCTTAACTGTATGTTATTATTAGTCAAAGTGAAAGTGTATTCTCTCTAATACGATGAAGGGAAAACATGTTTTCAACTAATTGGGCTCTTGGAACTAATGGGCTAATTTTTTTAAATAATAATAATATTAAAAATTAATAATTTTTATAAATTTAATATTGAAATTTAAGATTTTAAAATTTGAAAACTAAATATAATATTAATTAATTTAATAAATATTAATAATTTTTAAATATCCTTAAATAGATATAAAGACATGAAATATCTTTCATAAAATAAAAACTTATGGGCATAGCCCTCCTTTAGGGAATAGATGGTTCGGCCTCTATCTAGATTCCGCGCATAATTTACTTCAATTGCCACACAATTTATTGATTGATACGTATAAATTAATAGACAACTCTATCTAAGTATATGATATATAAGTTTTTTATTTATGTCGTGTCACAAATGCAAAAAATATACAATTTTGTGCATACATTCTCTCTTGAAAGTTAGGAGATGGGGAAGCAAATTAGTTTGACTTTACATATATAACCATTTTCAATACAACTTCACAATTAAGCTCTCGGTCAACTTGCAATTATATAAAACACTAATTATTTTCTTAAGAAAAATAAAAGCATCCACTAACTAACACCAAGTTTTATTGAATATTGTTTACTCAACTTAAACGCTGGTTTAACCCCATAAAACCAATATAGATTCAATTTTAATATCTTTTTTATTCAGATTAATTTTCAATAAATTGAAAATCACTCTCGTTTAAAGTAATTATTATGAAAATTTATATTTTCAATCACAAGACAATCTATAAATTCCTTGAAATCAATTTTTAGCTTCAAACTTTATTGTTTTCATTATGTACTTCACAAAATTAATATTTCCTTTCCTTTTTTATATCATTATTTATTCTAGCATAGTTAATGGAGTTTCTAAACTATACCAACAAAATATGAAAAGAAATTTATTAAGAAAGACAAAATTCATTTCAATAATCTCTTCACTTTAAAGAAATTAATGACTGTCGATTGGAAATATATTTGGCGGAAAAAAATGACATTTCTTGGGACTTTAGTGATATTTAAGAAATTGAACTTGTAGAACCCAAGTTGTGGAACATGTTCGTAATTTCCAAAATAGCACACAAATTAATTTAGTGATGAAGTCGTGTGTAGTCGATAACAAAATAAATATTTATATTAGGTTAGTAGTCAATGTTTGCATACTAGCATCCATATGAGGACTCACATGACATGTCTCATCCAATAATGTTAATTGCGTTATGTAGTAACTTGTGTCTTCTGCCTAGTTGACCCCATCATAAATAAAAGCAACTTATGCAATTATTATTTAACACAAAATCAATGAAAATTACAGCAGCCAAGCTATTAGTATTTTTGGTCACCAAGTCTATGATTAAGAAGCTAAGAAGCTAGGACAAATTTATGGTATGTTTGAGACAACTGGCATGCACATGGGAAGAGGAATCAAAATGGCAAAAATATGCATTCATCAGCTTTGCAATTTCATATATTCATAGTTTGGCACAACGACAGACACAAAACATGTAACATCATCATTCTGAGGTGGGGGGCATCTTGTATTGTTTCTTTTTTTCCTTTTTCTTTTCGTTAACATGTTTAAGTATTGTTTGTTTCATCTTTCGTTTCTCCCTCCCAAATAATCCATATTTTTTAATCAATTCATCTCACAATGCTCAGTATTTTCTCTCCCTTTGCCACTCTCATTTCAACTTTAAATGACAAACAAACACGTTAGTTGGTTGTTTGGCTGCACCTGTAGTTCCTTTCATTTATGATCGCCCCAAAGATTTTGTCACATGCTTAATGTCAGACTAATTCTCCTTTTATTCTTCTTACATTCATTTTTATATGTAGTCTCAAGAATTTACACATTTTGAAGAAAGATCTACCTCAACTTGATAACCAACTCTTTAATTAGAAATTATAATATAATTCAAAACCAATGTGTGTTTATAGAGGTAGTCAATTATATGATATAACACATCATTTTTACTTTTGAATTTTGAAAAAAAAAATGTTGAGAATTTCATATCGAGTAGAATAAAAAACTTAGCATGTTTAATTACTTTTAGTTGTGAAACTCTCTTTCACTTAATAAACTATTTTTTGAGTTGGATTTTTCTCTCATGCTTATTAGGTCCTAAAAAAATTAATAAGACTCAATTACATATTGCATGAAAATCGATTGATCCGGGACTAGAAATGTTTTCTTTTTTATAGTTTGACGGTTATACCTACAGAAGTACTCAATTGAAAAACAAAAAGTCCTCGTGTTAAACATGGACTGCTTCGTTGTAATAGTGGTTGGAGTGTACTTAAAGTAATATACTTTTGTTCAAATGGACTAAGAATTATCTTAGACATTTATATTCATCTGAGGCTAAATAAATTTGAAAAACTTTCATTTAAGCAATTGTTAAATAAAAAAATTAATAACTATCTAGTTACTTTATATTTATGATACTTTTGCTTGGTTAGATAATGATATCTCTAATCAAGGCACAGAAAGTTCCAATTTTATAAGGTAAAAAATAATATTTTATCTTCGACTATAGTTGCATGAATTTTTGTAACCAAAAAAATAAATAGTTTCATGATGTCTAGAGCACGCGATCTTATTAATATGAATGTCGAACCACATAATCCTTTTAGACTTTTACCCCCAAAAAAATCCTTTTAGAACAGGATAGTTTTCAAAATATAGATAAAATAATCAGATTTGTTCTATTTTTATATTTCTACGTACCAACTTTACTACAAATATAACTAATACTAGTATTGTTTTTCTCTCGCGGATAATACTTATTTTGTCCTTGATAGTAATTAGTAAATATCTTTTGTTTTCTTTTTTTAAGACTAAAATGTATGCGACTTAGACCCTCTCTAATTTTATAGTAGTGTTTGACCAAAAAAAAAAAAAAAAGAGTCAAACACATTAGAAACATAAAACTTCTTAAAACTTAAAAGAGCTTATTTTATCTTAAAATTTAGAAGTTACTTCCTCACCCATTTTATCTTAAAAAAAATAATAAGCTCCTTTTTATTACGCCAAAAAAAAGGAATTTATTTTTTTTTTTTTAAAAGGGGGCTTATTTTTCTGTAAAAATAAAATGGATGAGGAAATATCTTTTAAAACAAAAACTAACTGAAGTAACTTTCATAAATGAGTTGCACAGTTTAGCATCATGGACTAATCAATGCCGAATAAATAAATAAAGAAACAAAATTTTCAGTTTCAAGGTTGCTTGCAAGTTCTATAAATTAATAAGAATTTTTCTCTTTTTCAAATAGACATTTTGAACTTAAATTTTATCCATTTATGTAAATAGGTTTTTTCAACTTTCAAATTTTTGGGAGATTACCATGTGTAGGGAAATCTAACGGGTTATTTTTTTTAGTAGAATCTTTTATTTATATATATATATATGTTCTTTTCATTAACAAAACTTGAACTTGTAACCTTACTCAAAAGATCCGAGCTCAATTCTACCAACCTCAATGACTTTAATTTTATCTCAATATTTAAACTACACTTATTTTACTAATAAATATAAACATAGTTTCCTACAATTTAGGCTTTTATTTAGGCAGTATAAAGTTTAAACCACGTCTTATTATTAGAGACAATATTAGTAATAAATTAACAAAATAATGCAGAGCACTTAATCGTGTAGATGGCCTTGTATAGTATAAGTGGACTGGATTAGATAAAAAAGAAGCCAGACTCAGTCTGAACAGCATCTCCCAAGACCCACCAAAAAAGGAAAAAAAAAGAAGGAAAAAAATAAAATAATAAATAAATAAATCAATATATATATATATATAACGTGGAGCACCGTAAAAAGAAAATAAATAAATTATATAAAAAATCCTAAAAGGTAAGACAAGACGGTGTTTCCAGTCCCGTTTGCATCACAAGAGATGGGGCCAGTAGTGACGTTTAAAAGTAATATGAAAATCATTTACAAGGCATGTATGCAGATGAAGAAATTAAGAAAACATGGTCACCAAACTCAGTTTGTGCATAACAAGGTATAGATGAAGAATCTGGAAATCATATATAATGGTAAAAGTGAGACAAGTATAATAGTAGATTGTTCAATACTAAGTAGTAAGTAATAGGAGTGAGATTTTACATCAGTCTTCGTCATAAGAGACATGAAAGTTGGTTGTGCAGCCAGAAGCTTCAGGGTCTTCAGCCCCACAACAGTCATAGAACTTGGCAGCATAAGGTGGATCATCCGGACCCAATTCATAGTACCTTCATAATTAACAAAAACAGAAATGACAGAATTTGGGGATAGATAGATAGAAAGATAATTCAACTTAAACAAAAATAAAAAATTCCAAGTTACCAGCCTGGCTTACACCTGTACGGTGAAGCCAACACTAAGATCTGGTCAGCTTGAAATTTCATTCCTAAAATAATTTGCAGCAGGCTGTCTATCCCAATGCCTTTGTAGAATCACCATTAATGATATCCAGAGTTCCTCATTTTATGTTACTTCTATGTCACACACACACCTCCAATTTAGTTTTCCAAGCATAACATTGGCATATTATGCTTTGCTTTATTTAAGATTTTTGGGTGTAAGATTTAGATTTTTTTGTTGCCATAAGCCTGATTAAAGTGTACGAGCTTAGACACTCACATAAAAACGTGATTAATAAATGATAGTCACAGCCTCGAATAGTCTACGGGTAACAAAACTTCGTCTTTTGGAATAGTGAAAGAACAAGTAACACAACTTAATCCTACTAAGCGTTTTGTAGATTACCAATAAAAAAAAAATGTACTGTGCATGACATGTCTAACATGTCGATCTTCTTAAGGCTACAAGTGGGAAATTTGGGGAGATCAACAGATTTTGACAACTGAAGAAAAAACAGACACTTGGAGATTCAACACCACTAACGGGATTCCAGAATTAATTAGAGAACAGCTATGTTAATGAATAAATTGTCCTTTTTGTCACGAAATTTGATAAGACTTTTGGATAGTGAATACAGCAATGTGACCATGTTAAAAGTAATCAAGAAAGGATGCCAGTGTCAGAAGATTTCAGTCAAACTGAGTATTGACTATTGTAATTAAAGAAGTAATGTAAAAGTTCTTAGTTTCTTACAGTTTAACGAAATATTAAAGCCTAGGTAGTTTCTAACAAATATGAGCATTTTCAATGGAAATATCTCATTTAAGTTGCTTAATGTATTCAAAAATGAAAAAAGTAATTCCCAGTGTGTCATGTTAGTATTAAGCAATTTAAACACAAATCTACTCTAATGATAAGAAATTTTAAGAAATCTAACTTTTAGAATTTTTTTTCTAATCATTTATGAATCAATTTTAAATTTTTATTAAAAAAGATAATTGCACTACAATGAAAGAAAATAAACTACGAGAAAAAATATACAATAAGTAGATATTAAAAATAAAATAAAACAATAATAAATACATGGACATTATACGAAATTAATTTTCATCATTATTATTTCCGAAACGTTCCCAAATATGTTTAATAAGATCTGTTTAAAATCTGGTAAGGAACGGTTGCTTGAGGAAGCATCTCTCTCTTCTTCAAGCAACTCATATTGTCACGTCAAAGTCCTCCAATAACAAGAAACCGGGATTTGAGTTACTTCATGGGACAAGCAACTCCCATTGGAGTTACTCTAACAAATAAAAGGTTTTTAACATAGCCTCGGTGGATCATGCAAACATTTTATACATATGCCATTGGTTGAAGCAAAAAAGTTATTTCTAACGAAAATAAATGTGACAGCCACAGGTGTATATATTCCATCCTTCTTACAATTTATGGTTTCAACAACGAGGCAACGACATCTAAATCATCATCTACAACCACAACATAATCTAGAGATCCCCATTTGTATATTATTTTGTTTAAATGACCACTAATTTGCCCAGAGTTTTTTCTTTTAAAAATATTATGCAAGGTGTGAGTACTGCATGGCTTGCTTATCAACCCTTTTTTATGCACAACTAGTTTTTCCCTTTTTTCCCCCTAATAAGTATTTTATGTTAAAAATGGGTGAAGTGACCCTCAAGAGGTTGCTCAAGTGATAGGCAAACTTGAGCTCAGTGGAGGCTTGAGGGGCAATTACAGCAGTGTCGAGAGTTTGAAGCTATGGAAGGGGAAGGGTCAACTTAGGAATATTAGTATATTAGAGAATCCATACTGATATCTCAATTAATGTAAAGGACACAGAAATGGAAAGTTTTATTGGAATGGAAAGGAAATACAAGACTTTCGTATTTTCAATGTAATTTTTTTGTCAACAAAAATTTGGACAAAGACATGTACCCAATTATTATAAAACATAACAAGTATATAACCATATGTGGATGAAGGAATGGGGAGAGATGGGTATAACATCTCATAATATTTTACACATTGCAGGTAACTATTATAGGCATGCATTGAATCAGTCCAATTTCATCCCTAACCCCAAGTGGGGATTAATCTCACAGCTAAAGGAAATTTATGAAGGAAGTATAGTTTTGCGAAGATGAAGCGAGAATTAGGGATGATAGAAAGAAATGGAAAGGAAAGGGCACCTCTTTTGATCGTCGTGACGGCGACAAACGAAGAAGGAAGTGTGGAAACGGCAAGAGGTTGAAGTGTTGGAAGCGGGGTTATAGCTTTGCTTGCACCTTTTACACACCTTTGAATTTTCCGATTGCTTCTCCTTCTCCATCTTCCTCCCACAAAACTCTTCCTCACAATACTAACGAAGGGTTATCGGTGTAACTTTTACTAAATGTTACACCACTCAATAACTTTATATTAAATGTGAATTTTATAAATTCAATCGTTAGATTGAAAATTCATATAACTTTATATGTGTGTATCAAATTTTGTTAAAATTAAACAACAACTTGAGAATAATCAAAGTGTTCATATTTTAGTATATTTTGAAATAAATATATTGCGTCAATTTTATTTTATAAGAATGAAGTATCAAATCATCTTCGATTAATATAAAATTTTGTATATATAATTTAGGAGTAAAGAACTTTCAATCTAACAGTTGAATTTACAAAATTCACATTTAATATAAAGTTATTGATCAGGGTAACACTTAATAAAAGTTACATCAGTGTCATTTGAACCCTCCTCATATATATATATATATGAGAAATGCTAATATACTCTCACCTATTTTTTAGTTAGAATATGTTAGCAACCTACACCAAAATTTTATGACAAAAAATAACACTTATTTTTTTTAATTTGGTTAATTTGTATAGAAGATATTATAGTAATTTAATTTAATTTAAAAAAATAAAATATTTTTTCTCTCTTATTAACTTCATTCTCTAAGTCATTTCTCTCTCGTATTAAATTCCTTTTCCAACTCATTTCTCTTTCCTATTAAATTTCTTTTCTAACTCATTTATCTCTTTCCTATTAAATTTCTTTTTTAACTCATTTATCTCTCTCCTATTAAATTCCTTATTTAACTCATTTCTCTCTCATCTCTCATGATGTCTCCCCTCTCTCTTTAAACAAATAAAAAATTAATAAAAAAATGAGTTGGAAAATAAAATTAATAAGAGAGAAAAAATATTTTATTTTCTTTTAAAATTAAATTAAATTACTATAATATCCTTTATACAAATTAACAAAATCAAAAGAAATAAGTGATTTTATTGTCTTAAAATTTTGGTGGAGGTTACTAACATACTCCAACTAAAATATAGGTGAGAGTATATTAGCATTCCCTTATATATATATATATATATATATAATCCTATTTATTGAAGACTTTATTAAATGGTATATTCACACTTTGTTTATGTTTAATATTTAGGATAATTAAGTTTTTTAATAAATGAATATTTAAAGCATATTTTGATTAATAATTTTGTTAAATACTTGTAACCAAATTATTTTATTAGAATAAATGATATTGATTTAAATATATTTATAATCCTATAAAATATAATAGAAATACTTTATTTTAAAAATTTAATGATTATCTAACATTATTTTAATTTATCAATTAATATAATAATAAATTTATAAATTTTACCAACAAGATCCAACACTCGCTATGTACGGTTTGGACAATTTGTATTAAAAACGAAAAGACTTAGTTAGCGATTTAATCTACTTTGATAATTTGTCTTGAAAATAAGTAATTTCTGACTATGGAGGAATATATTTTCAGTGATCAACAAAAATAAAATTATTTAAATTTTTAAAATATATATTATTTTTTGTTTCATACTTTTTCTTTCCATTTATTTTATACTTTTTCAATGACGGTTTTCCTAAAGCCTTTTTTATTTATTTTATTTGGTAATGACGATTTTCCTAACTAGCCGAAGGCAAAAACCATGCAACACACTCCATAAATTCAGCTTGCATAGTGATAAAAAATAAATTAAAAAAATCAGCTTGCATGATTCAGCACGATTTAAGCCTGTTTTCATTGAAGAGCAAAGCAGCTACGCGCATTGCTTCTGAGTTCTGAGCAAGGTAATGAGTAGTAGTATGGCATGCGTTTGCAAATGCCAACTAGGTGCAATGATAACCGTACATTTATGTGGTAATTCTCAAATTAGTTGTAATAAGGTCATGACATGACATGTTCAAATTTTCACGTAACCTTTGGTTCAATTTACAGTATCCTCCTCCTACACTATATTTGGGCCATTTGCAGGCAGGAGGCAGCAAATGGAATATTCACACAGTTGAATCATTTTAACTGAACTCATCAGATTTCTCACATGTATGTTGCATCATCATCATATTCTGCTGTGTCTTGCCTTCCTGAAATGATGTTAAACAAGCTCTTTGTGGCTCGGCCAACTGCTCTAGAAGTCTTTCTAGCTGCTCCAGCAACAGCAGGTTGCAAAGAAATTATGGGCAAACTTGCCCTCTCATGAATCATGGCTGTAAGAAACCAAACTATAATCAGACCAACATAGAAGACAAGATACCCCAGATATCAGTATCCATATTGAACAAATGCTCCAATACTTGATCGCTTTTACTTGTTTAGAAGAAAATTAGCTACTTAATAATACAATGCTTTAGCTGCTAATGGCATTCAAAGCTCTGTATATGAATGTGGGGAAAAAATGAATCTATTGGTATGAAAAGAGATTGATGATTGATTTGTGTGTGGGTGCATGTCAGTGTGTATTCAATTGTTAACACTGCATGAGCTCTTACAAAAATCATCCATTGAAAAATGAAACTCAACATTTCAACGCACAAAAATGATGGAGTTAAAATTCTCCAGATCGAGTATTTCTCAGTACATGATTGTGTAGATAACTAAAACTAAACGAGCTGCTGAATGTTGTAGTTAAGATTAAGTGGGGGGGAATACAAAAGAAAAAACTAATGGAATCTCAGCAAACAGCATACATACATACGGTTTGTTGTTGTGCCATTGAACCAATCTGTCGGATTCCAGCTTCTGCTGCTTGCAAAGCTTGAGCTGACTTGTTGACACCATCTGCTATTTCCTGGCTAATTGCCAAAAGAAACAAATTATTTTATTTAGATCATGATATACAAAACGATTAAAAGCTAATTTTGAAAATCAATTCCTCACAAGGGGAGCACTAGCACTCTCTTACGAAGTCTTTTTAAACACTATTTTTATTAGGTGAAATTTGTGCCGTTGGGGTCTCACAAATTTCACCCAATAATAAAGAGTATGCGAAAGCAGTTGTTGCTGGCATTTACTTTCCCTATAAAAGGGCATCCACTTTTTTATCATTAGCAGTTCCCAAATGTCCAAAAATTTCAAAGTTCATTTACTTTGCTGATAAAAATCTTATAAGGTTGTATGTTGTATCAGATTGAAAGGTTTATGTCAGCACTTTTCACTTGCATACTAAAAACACTGGATGAACAACCAAACACATCTTCCAATAATCGAATAGAAGGGTTCAAAAGGATCTCTCCCAGACCAGCTAAACTTCAGAAGTGATACCAATCAAAAGAATTATAAAATCTTGCATGTAGCAATCAGTGCAAGAAAAAGTCTTACTTAAAGTCCAATTCCTGCCGATGCTAGTTCATAACATCCACATCTTTCTGTTTCAAAGCAACCGTATATGAAACAATCTTATAAAATTGTTGAAATCACTGGCATGGAAACCTCTTGGCCCATACTATAATTTACAAGTCTTTTGTGGCTATAACTATGAAGCGCTTAGGCTCAACATATTGTTAAAGCAAACTACATAGTCAATCTATACTCTTAAGAATTAGCTTTCAATAATCAACACCCAGCAACTCAAACCAAGTAGAAAACTAGAATAAGAGAGAAACCCTTTTAATGGATATATATGTCACTTCCATTTCGGCTTTAATGAACTGTAAGAATGGATTGAGTACAGGTTTTAGGACACTATAGGACAGCAGTACAAATAAGTTGCACAAAACAGAACAGAACTACTATTTAATAATCTAAAAAAAAAAAAAACCAACATTTAGAAGAAGTAATATATGGAAAGAAACACAGAAACAATGGATTCAAAGCAAGTTAATCATTTTTACCTTAGATCGCTTAGTTCTAGAGTTAGATCACTTATCTCCATCCCCGAAAGCCTAATAGCAGCCATGGTACTAGGGAGCTCCTCACGAGCTGTATCTGCCAGCTTGGAAAGGGATATTGCAGCATTTCTCATTGCCTAAGGAAGAAGATATGGAAAGAGTATATATGAGTATTTAGAGACTGTTTAGGTTTAACAATTATCCAAACAAGATAAATAAGGGGGTTACATATGGTATGTGTAGAGTCTAGACATGAAAACATACAGCGAGAAAAGCCAAACAATGCCAAGAAATTACAAGGTTGTTGCAGAAAGAAGTGGTCTAGCATAGCCAATAAGCCAAGTCAAATTCCTATTGCATTAAACAGATGAAGATCTCACACCAAAAACTAAAAATAAAAACCAAAGATCAATTACATTATATATAGGACATCTGTAGTTTCGCCTGTTGAAAGATTCGTCCGTTGGAATAAAGTTCATATAAAGGGGTATCCGAATCTAAATCTAAATTGTAATACAATTGAGAGCCTAGCATTCTTTCCATTCAAAGAGATCCCATATCCAGATTCCGAATCCTTTTTCAATGTTTAACTTACCAGCAACACAGCTAACGTTTCCTCCCAGGCAAACCTATTTAAAATCCAAAGCTCCCTCTAAGAAAAAAATCCTTTGTTTGGACAGATGTACTAAAAAAGGATTAAAGACAAATGAATAAGTTGCTATAAGTAATAAGTATGCACGCTTCACATTGCTCTCTCTCTCTCTCCAAACATGTGTGTTCAACTTGAATTGTAGAACAGGACTAATGCACATTTATAAATGATGTTAAAGAAGAGGGGAAAAAAAGTCAGGTAAAGCTAAGTGAGATCTTAATTTAAAGTTCAATAATGAAATCCCAACATGAAGAAGCTTTACAGAACTGTCTAAATGTAAACAACGTGAAAGACAACTTACAAAGAGTGTGGGAACGGCAGCAAAAACAAAGCTAGTGAACGCCACAGAGGTCTGTAGAAACAACAATCAAAACATCCAGTGTGAGCGTAATTTCTAGTTGAAAAATGAGGATGACGATAACCTAAAAAGTTAGGGGAAAAAAAGGAACGTACCGTAGAGGCGATGAATGCGAGGAGAAAGAAAGCTTGGTCAGTGAAACTAAGCTTGGGGATGGGAGAAAGGAAGGAAGGGGTTTTGGGGATTGTGATTTGGGTGTGAAGGGTTTGGTCTGAAGGGTTGGGTGATGGAGATGGAGCAGAGGAGCAACATGCAATAAGCATGGGAGCTGAGTTGTTCAATTTGAAGAGAAAATGATGGGAAAGGCTTTGTTTCCGTTTCTGTTTCTGTTTCAGTCTGAATCTGAGAAGCAGAGTAGAAGAGTGTTCCAATCGAGTGCTTGCGATCAGAGAATTCATGCCGATTGATTTCATTTCGCAATACAACCAAACCTTCTTCTCTCTTTCTCTTCTTTATGTCCATTTTTTCACTTCCACAACATAATAATTATAAATAAATAAAAAATACTATGTTTCAATAAATAAACCTGATTTAGTTTTTGAATAAAAGAATATTAAATGATTTTTACTTTCAAAATATGACGTCAATTTGAATTTAAGTTAAATTTCTATTTTGCAAAGATCAAAATGTTCTTGATTTTTTTAACATTTGAATTAGTTTATACGCATTTAAATCAATTTACCTCTCATCAAATTAGGTATTCATGTTGAAAATTCATAATAATGATACTTTTAAAACGTATTTCTTTTACCATCAGCTAGAATTACAATTTATAATTGAAACATGCGGATGCATTAAAATGAGGATAACTGCACAAATTAACAATTTTCCATGTAAACTCAAAAATTGTGTCTTACAGTGTGTTTGTTTCTTCATTCAAAACAAAAGAAGTTTATGTTTCTACAATTTAGATTTAGATTTGGATGAGAATAAGCATTGAGCAGAAACAAACATTAATAATTCATTCTCACCAAACCATGCATAATCACGTAATCAATTTGCTTTATTATTATTGTACAATACCGATGATAATAAATGAGACAGCTGCTGTCTTAAAAATTAAGATGATATTAATTTTAACATCACCTACTCAAATAATTTGATATTTGCATTTTTTTTTAAAGACCGAGACTCAACCTATCTTAGACAGAAAATGTAACCTGAAAATATCATTTTATTTCTAAAATAAGCCAACCTAGTATAAGAAAATTAGACCTCCAAACTATACCAACACGGACAATGGTGCAATGCTAAATAAAAACTTTTTAGTAAAGGTTACAATATGAATATATTAATAAAAATAAATATTATTCAATAATTCTTTTTCTAACTTTATCTCTTTCAATCGTTCCAGGACAATGATTCACAAAAACAATTGGCATAGAATTCACACTTTTTGCATTCATCAATAGTCGCGACAGAAGAAAATCATACCACATCAAAGAAAGATAATAATCGGATAGCAAAAGCAACTATTATATCTAAGGAGAATATACATACAAAATAGGAAACGACAGGGTGCATACTCTGCCAATATTTCCAAATCAAATGAAGACAATTGGCTAAAATTACGTGTTATCCTTAAAATTCAGTACAAGTCCAATGATTCAAGGACCCTGCGAGCCTGGATCTGAAGAGCTGTTAGTCCCTGCTCTGGATCAAGTGTTGACCCTAACTGACTGGCTGCCCATATCAAGGAGGCTGACTTCTCCCCCAGAAGACGCCTTGTATCTTCATGTATAGTTGCCAAAGGAGGCTTATCTCTTCCGTTCACATGTCCAATGAGCAGCAACAAAAACTCTCCACATTTTAACCTAACAAATGACATGCACTTTACTCTTATAATCGAGTTATCTCAAGTCAGCAAGCTCCACATGACAAACATACATAAAATAAGAATTAAAAAAAAACAAGTTTTTATTAAAAAAATATTGTTTACTATATATTTTTCATGTTTTTCCATGGCAAAAATACGGCACAACAAGCTTAAAAACATCAAAGTTAATAAATTTACAATCCATTCCAATTTTCAGAAACTCCTTTATACAAACTAGACAATCAAATTTTTAAAAAATAAAAATAGACTTCTAATTTGATGTGGGATGTCGTCTTTGCATGGCATTCTTGGTTCTTGATTCCTTCCATACCTTTAATACCAGATGCATGCACTTGGACTTTAGGGCCTTCAGGGTTTTTCATCAGTAAATTTTTTCCCAATTTCTTATTGGCAACCTCTCTCCCCATGTTTCAATTGTTATGAAATGTCTAGGCTATAGCTCTTACTTCGACTGGCAATACTTAATATGATAAACAATAATGACTCGTTACATGTGCGGAGACCTCGTATGCCCTTTCCATGACATGCCTGTAGGTACCATAAATGCTCTGTAACCAATAGCCATCTTTTCTTCCTTGTGTGGTAGCTTGGCAGTTTCGAGTAACATGTTTGGGCTGTTTTCAGATAACTGACTTTTGACTGATTTGACAGTATACTTTGCTAACTTTGTTTGGGGTTTTGGGTGTTAAATGGAAAATGAGGTACTGCTTTGGAGTTGTCCACTTTTGACCAAGGTTTAGGGCATTTCAATGTAGTTACGCCAGAATTTTTACTAAGCAGTTTCTCCCTTCATCTCTTCTATATGTCAGTCTTGTTTTCTTTTCTAACTGCTCTACTCCAGCAGAGCAATCTCTGACACATCATTACCACTCACGTATTCTTTACATTTCAGATAACGAAATAGGATATATGCTCAATGATCAGAGCTAGCTAAATTAGAAATTCTGACGCTCTCTTCTAATATATAACAAGTCTACATAATATCATGAAGAAATGAGACGGTAAGCTAAGACAATTTTACAATACTAACAAAGCGCGACCTATAAGAATAGAGCAACTACAGACTAGTTATGTACAGAAGAGAGACAGAGATCCATATTAGACAAGTATTGAGCATTAAAATGAATGAGACTGGTTGTAAAAAGAAGTAGTACCTGAGATTCTCGTCCACTTGTTTGTCTCTTAGAAGGTCAGCAACTTCCATAATACCATTACATTTCTCAAAATCCTGATAAATAATTATCGAGAGAAATTTGATAAAATGAATGCAAAGAAAATGTTCAGAAAATTCTACTAAGCTTCAAGAGGAATACTGATGGGTAAATCATATCTGCTAAGCAAAACTCTAAAATTTCTTTTAAACAAAAAAGAACAAAAGAGAAAAATCTGAGGAAATTCTTGGCAGCAAAACTCTGTTCCCTTTATAGGTAATGATAACTGACAAATTATTTTGCAACTTTTCCTCACCAAGAAACAAATATAGAAGTAATAATCTCAATTCTTAAAGCATAAATGAAATACAAAAGAAACTAGATGTTAAAACTAGAATGAAAAGAAAAAAATATGCAAAAGATGTCAGGGCAAGAGTCAGGGTACCATTTGATTGAATGATGAATCCACCATCAATGAGATTAGAGCATCTAAACATGCACCTTGCTCCAGTACTCCACGAGTGGATAAAATATTCATTAAAACCTGCAAAGGTAGCAGAATTTTTTTACATAAACAACTCAGTATCTAACATTTCAGTTCTTCAAAGTTTAGAGGATTTGGTAGGAGAGAGGGGATTGCCCTATGCATGTGCACTATTTATGTGGCACTACATCTTGCATATGATGGCAGTGCAATGCTCAAAACACAGGATAAACTTTATTTATTTTCCTTTGGATTTTATATGAGCAAGAGTTTTTTTCCTTTTATTTGGCTTCCACTTCCAATCATGGCATCAGGGGGTCTCCTTGTTAATGTGAAAAATTGAAGGGGATTATCCTTCTTTTTCTTAAATCAAATGAGGATAAGATATAAGTAGGAATTACAATCCATTTGCCACAATGGATAAATGCTTCTCCCATAAAGACATTGAAACACACAAAAATACATGGTGGCAATAGTAACTGTAGCTCATGTTTATGTTATGTGCTGATGTAAAAACTAATCAGCACAAGACCGTCCATGAGCACAAAAGGAGGGGGCTATTGTATCAATTTGGTTGTTCTCTTTTAAAATTATACGTTCTGTTCCTTTCCTTTCCTCGAGGAGAACATCACATCTGCCATGTTTGCATTCAGCCTTTCTTTCTTTTTCAATAAATAAGAAGACAAAAATTGCTAAAAATCATATATGGAAAAGTCACATATCATCATCATAATCAGTCTTCATCTTAGAATGGGAGTGTGACCCTAACTCAATCCCTAACAGTTGAATGGAAAAACACGAAAAGGCAGTAAATAAGGGGACCTGAATGGCATTGTGTTGATGGGCGAGAGCGGTACTGTGTGGGTGAAGCAAGCAACAACCTTCCAAGACTCTAAGAGCGAGCGCAACTTCAGCATCAGTGGATGGACTGGTCAACTTCTTTGGCACCACACCAAGCACGTGACTCAAATCTCCAACCCTGTTCTCACCGTAATCATCCCCACTCTCTCTCAATGAGTGCTGAAACAGAACCGGAACCACTGCAACAAGGAGCACCGCATAAGAAACAGAGATTCAAAATAAAGGAAAACACAACAGAAACGGACCTTGGAGTTGGGGAATGGATTGGGTTTGGTTAAACAATTGAATGGTTGAGTCGGACTCCGCAACGGAACGCAGGAATTTGAGAATGGAACGGAGAGCACGGACACGGAGAAAGGAGAATTCGGCACGTGCGTCGGTGAGGCCCGTTCTGAGGGCAAGAGTGACTTCTCTGTAGACTCTGTGTTGTTGCAGTGAGTTAACGACCTCGCTCACTGCACCGTAATCCTCTGTCTTTGCGCTTTCATCCCCTTTCCCACTTTCACTCCATAACGGCTTCTTCAGATACATCTCTCTTTTCCTTTGCTCAACCAAGACCAATTCCAATTCCTCAATCTCGATTGCCACTCATGATGCACTGGATCCGCGTTCATTAGGGTTTCTCAAGAGAGAATCAAAATTGCAGGAAAATCTTTGCTTACCCCGTTTTTTTACATGTTTGTTAACTATAGCAAAAGGTATAAATATTAAAAAAAAATTATATTTTTACGGTAAGTTATTTTATACAAAAAGAATCAAGAATATTTTAATTTTTTAAAATATTTATTATCTATTTTTATGTTCACTCTTTAAGTAGTTAAACATATATTAATTATTAAAAGATAAAAATGAAAAAAAAATTAATAAATTATTGATTTTAAAAAAAATGACAATAAAAAAATAATAAAATACTGACAAAATAATTATGAAAAAAATCGAATAGAGGTAATACACTACTCCTTCCATTTTTTTATAGTTATTTTGTTAATATTTTATTATTTTTTTCATTGTCACTTTACTAAAATTAATGACTTATTAATTTTTATTTTTTTTACTCTTTATAATTAATTTATATTTATTAAATAATATATTTATTTATTTTTATTATCTATCTATTTTTTTCCAATCATTTTTTTCCAATCATTTATGTTATTAAATAGAGTAGATTACTGTTAATATGGGTATTCTAATAATTAATATATTAATTTATGGATATATGTGATTAAATAGAGTAAGTTACAATTCACATGTGTATTTTAATAATTAATACATTAATTCATAAACTTCTCAAAAGATACATAAAAATAATAAATATATATATAAATTAACAATTTTAAGACTTAAATATAAAATAAATTAAAAGTATAACAGAAAAATAAATAATAAATATTTTTAAAAACTAAAATATTAATTTTTTAAAATTTTGTGAAAAACTTTAAACGACTACGAAACAAGAGAGGAAGTAACATTTTTTTTGTTTACAAACACCTCCTCTTCCATGTTGTATATCAAAATAATTATCATTTCTTATTAAGACAAATAAGAAAAATAGATATGACGTGTGTTGGTCCGGGCCATTCAAAGTTGAAACATGGTCTAATGTATTAAGGACAAAAAATATTTAGACATGGTGAATCAATGCATTGCTAAGATTTGATTATGTTTTTACTATTAACGTAATGTTTGAGGTGGTTGCGTGGAATTTGTAGAAATGTGAGAAGGCAAGGGTGATTTCGTAATTTGAGTTATACCTGGAGGCTTCAATTCATTCATCCATCCTTCCTTATCTGTTATGTTATGTGTCGTGTCTTTCCTCTGAACCATTGCAAGAGTCGAACATCGAACATCGAACATCCACCTCTTCTTTGTGTCTCTCTTCGGACACAAAGCAGCACCTTCCATGTCTCTGTCTCTTGTTCGTATCTACTCTTCGCCTCATCTCTCAACCTCTCTTCCCCTTCCCCCTTCTTTCCGCCCTCCCCATTTTCTCATATGCCGCCGCAGCCTCGCCTCCCTTTCCCTACGATGTGGGCTTCCAACCCCTCACACTTCTTACGACGACGAAGACGAAGAAGAAGCCCCTCTTAGCTCCCTCGTTTTGCCTGAAAGATGGGACGTCTTGGGTCTTGGTCAAGCTATGGTATTTCCCTTTTCCTTCCTCTCCTTCATTTTTGGTATTATTTCTTTTTTAATTATACTGGAAACTCCTTTAGGTAGACTTCTCTGGCACAGTTGATGATAATTTCCTGAAGAATTTGGGGTTGGAGAAGGGAACGCGGAAAGTAGTGAATCACGAGGAAAGAGGCAGAGTTTTGCAGGCTATGGATGGGTGCAGCTACAAAGCTGCGGCGGGTGGATCCCTTTCGAATAGCTTAGTTGCTCTGGCAAGGCTTGGAACTCCTGCTATTCATGTCGCAATGACTGGCAGTGTTGGGAGTGATCCATTGGGTGGCTTCTACAGGTTTCTCTTTATTATTTCCACTTTCATCAAATTCTCATGCTTACTACTTACTTCAAATTCTCATTTTTATGCTTTTCTTCTTCTTCTTCTTCTTCCCTAAGTCAGAGCTGTGAGCTGTTCCTTCCGTATCTCATCATCTGCTACCATATTTCTCTACTTTTAAAACATAGGATACAACATGATCATAATAATGGGTAATCATCAAAGATAATAGAGGGTAACTTGAGAAGATTATACTCTTTGTCCTGTTATTGTGTTACACATGTTCTATTTACTATTATATACATTTTGGTTGCTATAGTGCTTAGAAAAGTGTAGACCAGGCTCTGTTGATATCTGTAAAGTGCTCAAAATTTTATCCAAAGCCGGCTATCTAGTCTCACACATTAAACCACTGTACTGTTTACTCATCTTCTGGACATAGGTTTCTGTGTTATTGAATGATTCCATCAGTTTTCGTTTTGGGCAAGTGAGATTTTATGAAGTTACATGGATTGCATGTTTACATTCTATTTTTAATTTCTTTTAGGGAAAAACTACGCCGAGCAAATGTGCAATTTCTTTCCTCACCTATCAAGGATGGGACAACTGGAACAGTTATAGTTCTCACAACTCCAGATGCCCAGCGCACAATGCTTGCATATCAGGTTTACAAAATGATGGCACATTCCTTCTTGCAATTTCACCATTACTAGTATTTTAACTTGTGCATTACATAGGTTAAATATTTATTATATATAATTAAAATTTTAAAATAAATTATCGATATAAATAAATACTATGCTTAAATATATAAGTTATATTTTAGATTTATGGTGAATAATTTATAATGTAGCACAAAATTATTTTTATTTATTGATAGTTTATTTTAAAATATTAAAATTTAATTCATAAATAATTATGACAAAAAAAAAACTATATTAGATATGAAGTTAAAAAAATTTCTAAAAACTTTCTCGATGAAGAAAAACTTCTAAAAATGTTCTCGCGCCAGATAGTCGTTCATGTTTTATATATAAGAATTGATATGGCTAGATGTTTCTAAATAAATATAATAATAACAATTTACATAGTTTTTATTCTTTTCTCCATTCCATCCCCTCTAGCTTCATCACAGTTACATATCTAATTGACTGGTTTAATTAGTCAACTATAGGAGTTGTTCAAAATATTTCTTGATTTGATATATTCAAAAGTTGAATTGTGTAATTTATGTTTCATTGTATATATTGAAGAAAACACTTGCTATTTCATAAACATGTGAATTCTATTCAATTACCTGACTTGAATAGGATTATCTCTAGTTGAAGGTACCTATGATTTATATAAGAAAAAAAATGCTTAGTTTCTTAGTTGAATGCTTTGACTATGAACATGTACATTATTTACAATATAATCCAGTGTTATCTATTCTTTAAGTAATACTTCTTGCTGATAATATGAAGCACAATGGTTGTCAAACTTTTCAAGTAGAGGAGATTTTTTCTTCTCATCTGTATCTTTCAGCATCTATCCTGTCTTTATATACTATTTTAGGCATTTTCGAAGTTTAGCTTTAGTGGCATATTCTATGAGCTCTGGATTATTTGCTAATGTTATTTGAATAGTGAAGATGCTAATATTTCTGTATTCTGGTTTCAGGGCACGTCTTCAACTGTTAACTATGACACATCCTTGGCTAGTGCAGTTTCCAAGACTAACATACTTGTCGTTGAAGGTTATCTGTTTGAACTTCCTGATACTATTAAAACAATAACTAAAGCATGTGAGAAAGCACGGAGAAATGGTGCCTTGGTTGCAATAACAGCTTCAGATGTCTCCTGCATTGAGAGACACTTTGATGATTTCTGGTAAGATTACTACTTGAATTTTGTATTTTACATAATAGTCTATTTATGTCCACAGGATGTCAAAATGATTTCATTCTCCCATATCATGTAATTTCCATCCAATTAATCCTGATCTGGTACCCAAAATAGTAATGAACATAATCTCATATTCCGTAATAAAAAATTGTTATCCCGAAGTGTAACAGTGTGTAATAAGGTAGATATGATTAATTTATTTTTTCTTGTATTTTCCATGAGTTTGTTTTGTTTTCAGTTGTTTAAGCTGTACACAAATCTGATATTAACTACCATATTACCCAAATTTTGGCATTTGTCTCAATTTTGTAAAATATGGGAAATAACACTGTAGGAACCCCCATAATGTGATGTGAGGCAATACTGAATACGGCATGATGATTGTTTGTAGGATCATACTAAATGAAATTCTTTAATTTTTCACAATTTTGCAATTAATTTCATGCTGTTGGAACATATTATCTTCCAATTGCTTCATTTGAAACCTGGTTGCATTAAAGCTATGGTCTATTTAAACTTTTTTCTTAAAATAACATTTTTTTTAATAAAATAAGCAGTTTTTTTGCCTTTTTAGTGTATTTATATAAACTTCTTATTTTTAAAATAAGCAGTTTTTTACATTTTTTAAGAAACAAATTCTATCTGCTTCTTAAAAAAAACAACTTTTCCAGAAACACCTTTTATAATTGGCTTTTTATAAGTTTATACAAACTGGCCCCTAATCGGACTGAGTGAAGCACCGAAGGGGAATGAAAGGCAATTTGGCAGATATTGCCTCATCAAACCTGTAGGAACCACTTAATTCAATTGACCAAAAGTAACTAAAGATGGTTCCTAAAAGTGATATTTGCAGGTGTTACACCCCATCCATCATACGTTTCTACAACTGATTTGTATTTTTTCATTCCTCAGGGAAACTATTGGGAACTGTGTGGATTTAGTGTTTGCAAATGGTGATGAGGCCAAAGCTCTTTGTAACTTTGAATCAAAGGAAAGTGCTGCTTCAGCTGCAAGGTATCTGAGCCACTTTGTTCCTCTAGTATCCGTCACAGATGGTCCTAAAGGGTCTTACATAGGTGTAAAAGGAGAAGCTGTATATATCCCTCCTTCTCCATGTGTTCCAGTAGATACATGTGGTGCTGGGGATGCTTATGCATCTGGCATACTCTATGGTCTCTTAAGAGGCATATCAGATTTGAGAAGTATAGGAACATTAGCATCTAAGGTTGCTGCCACTGTTGTTGGACAACAGGGAACTCGGCTAAGAATTTCTGATGCAGTCCAATTGGCTGAATCTTTTGCATTTCAACTTGATTCCTCCTCTGTTGGCACTGATCATATTTCCAGCGTCTAACCAGAGGTGCCACTTTGAATTATTGAATTACAATTTTTTTCTCTTCCTCATCACTTCATAAGATCCATGTATTTGATTAATATGTTTCAAAAGAATAGCCTTGTACATACTCTCATTGTAAAAAGAATAGCTACGCTAGCAATTCAATTACTTAGGACTTTGTCAAGTCTTCATCGTTATTATTATGTGTGTTACATTGTTATATTCTGTCATTATCATGAGAGTTACATTCATATCTTGTAGTATTATTATCATAATCATCATGATTATTCTTAGAATAGTAGATTTAAGCCTAACTCAACCTTACAAAATCGACTTGTAAGGTGAGGGTTGCTTTCTACTTATATACTATTTAATTGCCTAATTTCTAGTCAATGAGGGACTGGGTTTTTTCTAATAATTACTGTGAGACGAATATTGGTTATGACACATGATAGATGTATAGGTAATCTAGAGTTTGTTACTGAAGGTATCATTCATAATGAACGATTTTCTTTAATTGGAGATGACAAATTTTGGTTACCTTTTTCTCTGGTTAAAAATATTTGCACTGAAACAAAACACTCGAGTTGAATTTTTTTCCCAGTATTTTGTTTATATTTTATATTCGTTTTAGTCTTTAATTTGTAACTGCATTGCTAGGATTACAATTTCAATATATCGTATGAATCAAAGTTTTAATTTCCAACTATAAATAAGTCTAGTATGTGAGTTTCTGCTCAAATTGATGAAATAAAGATTACATTTGGTAAAAAGTAGCATATAATTTAGCTGAAAATTCAAAATTGAAAATTAGGCGATAGTTAATGGTTGAATTGCTAAGTTAGGACCCTTAACTTTTATGTTAAGAGTGATCAAGTCCTAGATGATCGAGGATTAGTTTTATAGCTAAACTAAAATTAGTGGGGATACCTCAAAGTTCTACTGAGAGCCAAAATCTCTAATTATAGGTAAAAAAAAAATGAGTATTTAATAAAATTATCTGTTGGAGTGATTGATAAATATAAAATAACATAAATAAATAATTATATGATATTTTTATGTAAATTTTAATTTATTTTGTAGACAAAAATATATTTGAGCAATTACTTTAATTTTTAATTAATTATAACTCTTATAATTTTTATTTAAAGTTTAATTATTATTTACATATTTTAATTTCAATTATTTATTTATTTTCATATTGTTTATTTTACTATAATATTATATTATAAATATTTCTAACTAAGTTTGAAATAAAATAATAATAATAATAATAATAGTATACACTAGTAAATACCATAATTTTGTCATGTTAACTAGTATGGTAATATCATTTCATATTTCTGAATGCTATGGCATATTAGTAATTTAGTATTTTTGTAATAACTCATTATCAATATCTTGAAATATAATGTTAAAAAAATGATATAATAGTTAGAATAAATTGTGAAATATAAAATAATAAAAAAACTAAAAAGAATAATAAAAACTGAAAAGGAATATTTTCTGAAGCATTAAAGAAAATGAAAAGGAATAATAAAGCATACCCTGTATACAAAAGCGTAAAAGATAACTCAATAAATATTTTTAAAATAAAATATAAGAAACTAAACTAGAAACGAAAACGCTACTTCAAATAGCATATCACAAAACATTACAAGACTAAAATAAATTTATTTATCAAATACTAATAGAATAGTCAAAAAAGTTTTTCAACTAGTTAAAAAAGCAAGAAACTAACTTAAAATACTCGATCATATTCAAATAGTCATTGTTTCCATGATTTGTAGCAATTAATCATTAATTTCTCTTTTATTGTAGTTAAGACAATGATTTAGGCTCCTTTAATTATGGTCATTAGGACAATGCTTTAGACTTTTCTAACCAAAAAAAATTATGATTGTATCTTAAATTTAAATGTACTTTTATCCTAACATCACTACCCACATCAATAGCGATTATTTACTGTAATAGTTTGTTTTTCTAGTTACTGTATTTAAACTAATTTTAGGATTTCTTAATTACTATAATTAGGACAATTTAAAGTTTCATAATTACTTTACTTAAAATAATAGTTTAAGTTTTTAATTATCCTAATTATAAGATCAATCAAGATTTTATTTTACTTGAACTCTACCTGTAAATAAATTATGTAGATAAACATGAAAATCAATTTAGAAAATCATTTCCTCCCTCTAAACATTTAAAAAAAATAAAAACATTTCAAAACTTCTATCACGTAGATTTGAAATTGTCCACAAAAAAAAACAGTATTCAGATTTTAGTAGAGTTGTCAATTCGGTTTGGTGTGACCCGTTTGAGTTGGCCTATCATGAGCCTCCATGTATTTGGATTGGGCCAATCAAATAACAAGCTAAATTTTGCTATCCCAACCCGGTTCCTAGACAAGCACCCAAGCCATGGATTACTCATTTTTTTAAAATAAAAAATAACAAAATATCAAAACAAATTAAATTTTATATAACAAGTTAATAAATCATTGTTTAATCACTAAAAAAGCAAAAATTATATTAATTATCTTGTGCAATAAAATAATATAATCCATAATAACAAAAAAAAAAAACAATCATATCAATAAACATGCTAGAAATTAAAAACTCAATATACATATATTATAATGGACATTAACAACATAAATAATATTAAATTCATCATTTATAATTTTATTAACTATAAAAAAAATACAACTCGATCATAAATTTTTGTTGCTATACAAGAGACTAATGGACTAATAAGGTCAACCCATCCAATTGGACCATTTAGACACAAATAATGACACTCTAGAATTTTCTCTTTCAACAAAGACATCAATACTGACATTATAAAGAAAAAAGTACACTAATTTTTTGCATAAGCAATGAAAAATTAATGCATTAAAAAATTACATATGGAAACTAAAATCCCAATCAAATAAATAAATTCTTGATAGTGCTGGGCAGTCAAATCATTTTGGGATATTTAGTCGGGCTTATAAGAACTACAATATGCTATTTGATTTTTGTAATTCAACCACGAAAGGCCGAAACACCATCAAATCGTGCCATCGCAGTATTGAGTACTGTGTTTCAGATGGCAATATACAATTGGCTATCGTATATAGGCATCGGGAGGAGCTTCTTCTGGAATCTGCCAAACAGACGCAGTAAGAAAAATAAAATGAAATCAAACGTATAAAGAGCTTATCCCTTGGATTTAAATATATAGCCAATAAATAGTAGCTCTATATCTGCCAAATGTTAGTGCTCCAAGATGAAGAAGATATTTGTGTAATTTTAATTAACACGAGCGATAGCCAAGACTCAAGATCTTGATTGCAGATTTTATCCGAAACAAAACTTAGATACAGTTTTTTTAAAGTATTATATTTTTTAATTAAAATTAAAATTTCACCTCATCAATCTACATAAAGATTAGGCAGATTATTAAAGGAAAACTCTAACTCTCACAAAAGAATAGCACAAAGAACACTTAAAGAAAGTGTATATAAGTGTTGTCCTTTTATCCATACTATGATTGACTGCGTATCTGCTTAGGAAATGAAAACAAAATGTCTTGGAGAAGCTGAATGGTCATGTTTTAACAGTTAGATAACAGCAGAAGATTATTACCTCTCCCGGATTCCATGTCTCTTGCATCCAAATAGTGAATTCTCCCGGCACATTCTCAACTTTCAACTTATTTCTGCAGGAATAGATGACAACACAATTACAAACAAAAGTATTTATAACTTGCATGATAAGCTGAAATTTCTTCAAATCTATACAAAGATAACCTCAGAAAATTGCATTAACGAAGGTGAAGTTTCCAAGCAGATTCAAATACGAATATAAACTGGAGGCAATGTTAAAGGAAACAATAGATCCTACTGCTGTAAGCACCTCTACTGACATTAAAATCTTTCTAATCACTGAATATGCAGCCAACTTTATTCAAATTATAATAATTAAAGTAGATGCAGTTTTGGTCACTGGTCAGTTAGTTTCCAGAAAAAATTAGAATGATTTCTTGGGCTACAATTAATTGTCTAGTGAGTTGAAGTGACCTCCTGAGGCAATTGAGTGCTTTCAGCATTCATCATTTCTTCCTTTTCTGTTTCTTAATTCATTGAATGCAAAAACTTAATTTGAGAATTACCAAGAGTGAAGGTACAATACCTAAAACATAAAAGACTTACGTTCATCTATTCATAAAAATAGTTATAAAAGAAGGTATATTGCCTGGTGAAATCTTCAATAGTTTGACTTAACTATAAAAAAAATATATCATAATCCTTTCAAAATTTACAATTAGGTTAGAAGTTAGATTGTGGGACTATAGCTCTAGCCACAAAAATTTACTGTTATGCCATCTTTTAAATGTTACCAAATAAGAATGGTTAAAGGGACATGATAAAATTGAATTTTACAAGCTCACAAGATTTGCTTTAAACTGAAAATGCATAACTAAACTGAAGATGCAACAAGCTTTAAAGTTTTTGGTGTAAATAATCAACATTGACTGGCTGGGTAATAACTAGTCTATGTGATACTTACTAAATCCATGTGGTCTGAAATATTGTACACCGCAATATTAGAGACAGTTGAACTAGTTTTAAATGAATGAGATCAGAAATTGATTAAATTGTGACAACTACCTTAAAGAACTTTGGACTAATGTGACAAAGAACTTACGACAACTGAACATCTGGTGTTGTTTGAAACATTGTAGTGGCTCCAGAGTTATTGAAGGCAACAGATGTTTGCTGAGTTGAACCCGGAAACATTGTTGACTCCACCGGTGCAGAATAGGGGATGCTTTGAGCACCAAAGACACCACTGCTGCCTAGATTTACTGTATTGGATGCCAAAGAGTTTCATTGTATTTATTACAACATTAACGGTCAGAAATATATGAGCAACAAAAACAGAAGACATGTATGGATATAATGCTATCCAAATTGCAAAAATATTTACCTCCACTTCCAAAGAAACTAGGTTGCGCCAGAGTGTTCGTTGGTGGTGCAGAAGGCCTAACAAGAGAGATCCAAACAGATTAGACCAACAGCAGGCATAAAAAACAAATTATTAGCATACACAAGTAATGTACAAGAAGAAAAATCATTGCATGGGAAGCAATGATTGGAGACCTGCATCTTATACATTCTAGCACACACCATACTTTGAATCACCCAAATCCAAAGGAAACAAGGCTTCAAAGGTTACGTATGTAACCACTTGGCCACCATAGGAATGTTTTCAGACCGAAAATTCTCAAGACCCAGGTCATTCTACGCCTACGGCACTTAAAACTGATATCCAACTACTCTGTATTAGCATCTAAGAAATTGTAATCTTAAACCACAATAATAAAAGCTCTTATGCCTTGGATTTCCTTGAGTCATTTTCCAATACCCAAACAACTGAAAATGGAGAACATGTTTTCCAGCAGGTTATTATTACCTTTCAAAACCCATGTTTAATGAAGTACCCAGTTGACTAAAGCTTGAGACTGACAAAGGACCATTATTTTGAGAAGTTATTGAAAATGGATTTGCATTGGCTCCAACAGTTTGGTGTTTTTGATGGTCAAGAGAAGAATTGATTGGCATTTTGTAGGGTTCAGAAAGTAGTTTCTCAAAATCAACCAACTTGGATTTTAGTATATTTCTCTCTTTCTCAACCTGCAACATCACATTTTCATGTCAAACACAATACAATTGTTGATCACGAGTAATCTTGTAGTTGCAAATGTCAATACAATGAAATAGTAAAGGAGGCTTTTCTTTAACAGAAAATGTCAAAATGAAATTTTACTAAAGAAAATTAATTACAATTAGGTAGAGAATAGGGTTTCTTTGAACGGGTTTCTTTGAACCAAGAGGGGGAAAAAATGAAGACCCAAAGGTGCTAAAAAAATGCATCGAAGTTATCCAATCTCTCTTGATACCATAACTGGAAACTCCCTTAAAACTGTAGGCAAGTTAGTTCAGGATTCTTACTATTGATGGCAAGCTCATCCCATTTTTAGCATCCTCATAGGCTGATGCCCGCAATTCTTCATAGCTAATATCACCGACAATGTCACAAGGAGCACTGCATAAATGGAAGTAAAATCTATATTTAGTTCTTATTAGTGCACCGGTTAAGATTTTTCAGAGCAAATTCTCTTTCAAGAGTGACAAGTACACTAGGATCTCTTTCAAGTATAACATTTATGTAGAAATTCCTTATGTTTTCAGGTTTATTATTTAGCTGGTGTATTCTAGGTGGACAGTGGCAATGTGACATAACTCATTAGTAACCAAAAAAGGTTCAGCTGCAGTTTACTGAAATGTAAATAATAAGTGAGATCATGCATGTGAACCTTCTATGTGAATTCCTATCATTTGAAGCTTTGTAATTTGAATGAAAAATGTTCCTAATAAGATCTTGCTCATCTTTTGGACAGCAGCTTTGGAAAGGACTTTCATAGATAAAGATTAAAGAGTGAGGAATTGTATAATGATTAGTGGTCAGTTTATCAGTGTTTCATGGGCAAGATGAATGGAAAAATAGTCAACAATCTTTTGCAACATAATCCAATTGCACAGGTTTTGAGGAAAATGGATTTTTTTCTAGCTGGTCTATTGTCCGCATTAGGTGCTATCATGATTAAACATTATTTACAGTAACAAGTTTGATTAATGTTTTCAAACCATCATGTCTAAAAAGAAATATACCCTTTGCAATGAGCATAGCATGTAAGTATCCAAATCGGTTTCTCTTGGCCCAAATCTTCCGCAATCTGCCGCTTACAGTTCTCAGGATCTGTGCATCTTTAATTAAATCAACCAAGTATATCAATTAATCTTACGCAAAACACAATAGTTAAAAAAGGCACTAGCCACAAACATTTATAGGAAACATGGATGCAAATTAAAATCACCATACTGAGACCCTTTTATAGAAAAAATATTAATTAGAAAGGAAGGAAAAAATACAAGAGATATAGGATATTCTCCAAAAGTTTTGGAGAATACCAAAATAAACCACAAAGCCAAAGGAAAACAAAATAATGACTAATTTTTGTTAGATTTCATCTTAAAACCAATTGGCACTAAGTGAAGTTGTCCAACAGATATATAAACTACATCCAAAGAATTGAAGCAGGCGATGTGGGACTTCCCAACACCCCCCCCCCCCCCCCCCCCACAT